TTGTTCATCACTATGATCACTGATTTTATTATGTTATCACTTTATCAATTTGTGATGCAATGCCTTTTTCTGGGTTGTATGAACATGCATATTGCATCTCGCCTGCAGAACTCCTCCATTCAGTTCTGATGAAGAATCATCTGAGGAAGAGGAATCGTCTAAAGAAGAAGAAACCCCTCAAACACAGAAGAAATCCACCCTGGTCAACAGCACCACAGTCAAGGCCCAGACTGCTAAAACACAGCAGCGCTCGACCCCTCCCGCTCCTGCTGTGCGCTCCGCTGCTGCCGTGATCAGTGCAGACAGAACGGACGTGACGGCTCTGAGCGAGAGCGACAGCGAGTGGACCGACGGCAGCGAGATGGAGGAGCTCAACCTCTCACAGCTGCACAAACACACTGACCAGAATGGAAACGTGGAGAAGATTACTCACAGTAAGACTCGCTTCTAATGTCAGGACGGTGTGGAGTTGTTGTATTGCAATTGGAAACAAAAATGTTACAAATTTGTATTGTTTGTGTGTGTGTTTTCTGTAGGTAATGTCAAAACTCTTAGCAAAAGCCTTGAAAAACAGCTGGAAGCACGAGGCCCAAAGAAACCAGCAGGGGGCGTTAATATGTTGCTTGAAAAGCCAACAGCTGTCAAAAATATAAAGCAAGATGCAAAGAAAGAGCTAAAGGTGAGACCTGCTCCTTTAAACAGATAGAGACGTTTACATTATGCAAAGGTAAATAAATGTGACATTGTAATCTACCACAACAGAACAGGTGGAAAAACATTTTAAATTCAAAATTTATTTGAAGTACTTTGGCATTTAATTAAATTCTTATTGAGAAGCCGCATGTTAAGGAGTGTTAAATAATAACATACATTATTAATAAAAAATACAGTAAATACTTATTCATTCAGGTAATGTAGCTCATCAGCATAACTGTAGTAAATATTGTAGATCTACACTACTGTTCAAAAGTTTGAGGTTTGTAAGTTTTTAAGAAATTAATGTTTTTATTCAGCAAGGATGCATAAAATTGATCAAAAGTAACAGTAAAGACATTTTTAATATTAAAAATAATATTAAACTATAATATAAATGTTTTTTTTTTTTTATAATTCATTTATCAAATGTTTCTTGCACAGCAAGTATATTAGAATGATTTTTGAAGGATCATGTGACACTGAAGACTGGAGTAACGAGGGTTATTGTATAGTTATTTTAAAACTAAAAACCATAAACAACATTTTTGTCACTGTAAGTACAATAAATGTTAACTGAACCAAAATAAAATATAAAAACTTTTTTAAAAAGTTATTATATTTCATCTAGTTGACAAGGCAACATTTCTCATTTCTATTTAGTTCAACTTGATATACTAAAGAACTAAAACTGAAATAAATATGAATAAACACTGTATAGACATTGAAAAAAAACCTAATAATAATGACAAAATTACTAAAAGTTTAATTAAATGTAAAATGAAAACAGAAAATATAAAAATAAAAACTAATTCAAAGCATTAATAAAAACTGTAATAGGATCTCAGTAATACTAAAATAACACTGGATTAATGGATGCTGAAAAATCATCTTTTCCATCACAGGAATAAATTACATTTGTAAATATATTAAAATAGAAAACATATATTTTAAATGGCAATAATATTTTACAATATTTCTGTTTTTATTGATTTCTAATCAAAAATATGCAGCCTTAGTGAGCACAATAGACTTCAAAAATGTGTACTGACCCCAAATTTGTGAATGGTAGGTATAATTCCCTTTTTTGATTTTTGCATTTCTTACTCCTGAAATGAGTTAGTCTTTATCTCTATATTAGATTTGTAATGTGTTGTCCTGCCCTGTTGCTTTCAGTACACAGATGAAGATGATGAGGATGATGACTGGGATATCTCCTCTCTGGAGGATGTGCCCGCTGTGACCAAACCCAGCCAATGTCCCGTACCCATCAGGAAGAGCCTGGACAAGAGTCTGGACACCAGCACGAGTGTGTGGGGCTCATCGACGGCCAAAGGACAGAAGCCAGGTACATAGAATTCATTATTAACTCAAAATATTTTATTAATGAGAAATCATGGCTATAAATGATTTACATCTTAGAAACTCAGATTGCTTGCAGAAAGGCTACTGTGGTTTTTGATTTAATCTGAAATGTACATATTGTCCAAACAATTGTCAAACAAATTACATTTTTTGTAGTTTAAATAATTGAATTAATACGTTAATATTACTTGTTCTATTTTAGTGTAAAGACTGGCTGTGATTCTGATTTCTTTCTTTGGGTTTCTTAGGCCTCACAGACGCAGGAACCGGCAGCACTCTCAAGAGCAGTTTAGTGAGCGTCAGCGACTGGGATGATTCAGATGAGATATAATAAAATGCAGCAGAGCAATACCAAAACATCCTCAAGTTAATATACCTTATAATTGTATCTATTGTAGCTCAGGCTTAGTGATCATTCAGGGACAGCAGTGCAAAAACTGTTTGATATTAACAGTGTTAAAGGTACTTTATATGAAATATAACGGTACAAGTACACCTAATGCTAAGGAACAGCCAAGGGATGTTGCACTTTAAAATGATTGCCTCATATTTTTTTTATAGTTTATGCAATGTGTAAAAAACTGATTTATTAAATTCACTTTTGCAAACACTTCAAAGATTCTTTGTTTTGGACATTCAAGCATTTACATTTAATCATTTAGCAAATGAGGACAATAGAAGCAATCAAACCAGCAAAAGAGCAACAATATGTAAGTGCTGTGACAAGCATCCTGCTGAATCGCAATGGATCGAGACAACAAGCATTGAAATTGTTTCTAAATTAGGTCTTTAAACATTGGGTTACACGGCTGAGTCTACAAGGGGCCTGACAGTTCTTGGAAACTGGTTTTCTTGTGTTCCTCTCCTCCCTCTACTCTGTCTATTTTCTCTGTTCACTCTGTATGATTGGAGTGAAGGAGGGATGATGACTGTTGTGGGTCTGGACGAGCCCGGCAGCATGTTCGTCCATCTGGTACGCTCTGTCATGTGTGTTGGGGGTCTCCTGAGTGTCTTGGTAAACCTGAGGAAATGCAAAAAATATTGAAAACACACAGTACACTACTATTCAAAAATTCAGCATTCAGCAAGGATGCACTACATTGATAAATGTCTATGATGTATGATTTTACGAAAGATTTTCATTTCAAACAAATGCTGTTTTTTATATATATTCATCAAAGAATACTTTAAAAATGTGTCACAGTTTCCACAAAAATAGTAATAGTAAGCTGTTCAATATTGATAATAATATAGTGCAATAGGCCAGACCTTCGTGGGAATGACTTTCTCGCAGAGAAATAGCACATGACTGCACTCCCACATATAACCAGACACGAACCTCCCCAGCCGATGAGAGCTGCACCGAGTTCAAACCTGAGGAAAAAAAAAAAAAAATTTTATGTGAAAATACATTCTCTTTACCCAGTTAATCTTGTAAGTATGCCATTCAGGGGACTTTATCTCCTGAAATAGTAAAGTCTCCCAGGCACTATCAAAACATTTAGAGCTGGCTGCTCGGATACATCAATCTCTTCCAGCTCAACCAATAGCGAGAGTTTGGGGCGTGGCTACTGTAGCTGGCTGGCAGGGTTGCCAAGTCCGCAGGTTTTCCCGCGGAATTGGGCTAAAGCAGGTTGATTTTTCTCCTGCGGGTTAATGGCTTGACATATTGGATACATTTTATTTGACTGAAATATTTTATATTCTACTATTGATAAAACTGCGGTAGATTTTATATTTTGTGCAGGAAGGCCACTGGTAAGGAGCCTTATTTGAGCTGTGTTTATGATCACTGCCATATAGTGGTTTTCAATTTGCTTAACATTAGGGCTGCACGATAAATATCGCACGATATTTAATGCGTTTGTACTACAGACATGAATGGTACCTCAAATTAGGGCTGCACGATAAATCGCATGCAATATTTAATGCGCATTTTGTCAGTAAAGCTGGTTCTGTAATCAGTGGTAAATCTCCATCACGTGCGTGATTTCACATGAAGCAGCATTTACTACACAGAGCCGTTGTTCACAGCTGCGCAAAACATGCGCAAAATATGATCGTGGTTTTGCGCAGCTTGTCTGTGAACAACGGCTCTGTGTAGTAAATGCTGCTCCACGTGAAAGCACGCACGTGTAGAGATTTACCGCTGATTACAGAACCGGCTTTACTGACGAGATGCGCATTAAATATCGTGCGATATTTATCGTGCAGCCCTACTTAACATTGACTGTAAAATATGTACTTTATGAAACAGGAATTGCCTATTTTGAGTTTTGATATTTGGGATATGGTCATTGGGCTACTTGGCCTCTTTTGATTGGCTATTGGGCTAGTTTTGTTACGCAGACCTGGCAACCCTGCTGGCTAAGCCAGAATGTGTTTAATCGGTGTGGGACTAGGGCTAACGGTCATGGGACAAGAAACTCGGTTACAGAAGTGTAAACCAAAATTGGACTTACCAAAAAAGCAGAGATAGATAACTTGAGAAAACAAGGGTAAACACTGGCGGTGCGTTTACCAGTTTTCAGTTGAGACAACGAACTGGCGGAGTTTCTTCACGACAGGTAAGCTAAACTTGCTTTCTCACTGTTAGCTGTTTACTGTCGAGCCCCAGATAAAATAGTAAGATATTGTAAGTATAAGAATAATCTTAAGGGGCTTTTGAAAATGTTGCTTGAATTTTTTTTATTATTTTTTTTTTCGTAATTTCTCTAGGTTACACTAGTAGCGCAGAAACTGCATGCCTCACCTTTAAACACTTTCATTTATTATTATTACTGAAATAATTATAAATACATGACTATTTTAAAATATATCATAGTTACATACTTCTGTTCCAAGTAATATGGATCCACAAAGTTTGAACGCACTTTATTTCCCCACCAGGAGTACACTATCATACCACAAAAACCTGCCAAAGAGACACAGCAACACATCAGTTTATGATACTCAGATTTATGCGTTATGAAAAAATGTTAATGAAGGAAGGTTTGTACCGCATGCCATGTACGTCAACGCTGCTGCAAATGTAACTCTGGCGCTGACAAGCTCAGAGCCTCCGATTTTGGTACATTTCATCCCAATAAGAGCGAGAACAGCCCCCCAGAAGCCAAAGATCACAGAGACGACAGCCAGGGCCCTGCTTACATGGAGGGAAACTAACATACCAGAGAGAGAGAGAGACACATGAAAAGCATCTCCTATGGAGGCCCATTTCCACCAAAGAAAAAAAAAAAAGTTTTCTCAATCACCATATGGGATAAAAAAAAAAAGTGAATTGTGAATTTATCTCACAAAATTTACAATTCTGACTTTTCTGACTACTGATTTTTTTTTTCTTTTTTTCTTGTGGCAGAAACCAACTTCCATAATCTCCAGATTGAGAAACTTAATTATATAATTAATGTATATAATTAAATAGTGTATGCATCACCTAGGCTGCATTTGTTTGATCAAAAATACAGTAAAACAGTGATATTGTGAAATATTCCAATTTAAAATAATGTTTTTTTAATATATTTTAAAATGTAATTGTAATTCTATTTGAATATGTAATTTATTCCCTTGATGGCAAAGATGAACTTTAAGGATTTAAAACAGTTGTGCTGCTCAATATTTTTCTGGAAACCTTGATACTTTTTTTAAAATTATTTGATCAATAGAAAGTTCAATAGAACAGCATTTATTTAAAATAGAAATCTTAACAATATGAATGTCTGTACTGTCACTTTTGCTGAATAAAAGTGCTTATTTCTTAAAAAAAATATATATATATATATTACTGTCCCCAAACTTTTGTACAGTGGTGTATATCTATAGTGAAGTTTTCATTTCAAATAAAAGCGTAATTGTAGATTTAGATATTCAAAACAAAAACAAACATTAAAAAGCAAAAGTAAAGTTTCACTTAAAATGTGTTTTGCCTTACTTTATTGAATAATGTATTCTCTTTCTTCTAAGACCTGTGAGCCTTTCATTTCTTTTTCTTTTTTTCACCAAATAATGACACAGCGTCTCAGTTTCAACAGTGATTCCTCACCAGGCAGGTCCATCATGGAGGGGTAGTATTTACAGTCAGATACTCCTGTGGTGTCTGAGACACAGTCCATCCAGAGGTTGGAATAGTAATTACCGGTGGTCAGAACCACAGAGCCGACCTCCAAGAAGGTCCAGTACTCAGTGGCCAGAGTGGAACAGATCAAAATCCAGCCACTTAAACACGACAAAAAGCAAGCCATCTCCACATACATCACCACTGTTCGCTGCCTCATGCTGCCAGCTTTATACGACTGATGAACGGAACAGAAGTTCTATGGAAAGAGCGTTCCTGAACTGCTGTGAGGTTTTAAGCCAACATGGAATAAAATTACATGGTGGTGTGCGTCCTTAGAAGACAGCTTCCTCCTGTCTTGGTATCTGCATCCACAGTGCTTTCTTCGGCATATTGCAGCTTCAAACTGGTAAAACTACATGCTTTTACCTCATAAGCAGTTTCACAATCCATGAGATTTGTCCGATCTCTGATTCTGACAACCAGGGTCACCGGGTCAAGTCTCTGAAAAGACCCTTTCCCAGGACATCACTGACCAGCTAAAAGAGCATCCAATAAGTTATGGATCAAAATAAAACAATGTGAAAAAGATGGAAAGTTATCACCTATTGTATCAGCTTTCAGGCGGAAATCTTAAGTCTGACGGTTCAGAAGAGTAAAAGATTTACGGTTTCATTCATGGCCAGAAAAACATACAGAACTAATAGTGCAGGACTTGTGTTGTCCTTGAAAGAACATCGACTGACTATTAGATATAATATTGTCATATGGTGAAGTACTGTATGTTCTTATTAAATCTGATATTTATCTCCTATGCAGGCTCATATGTCAAATAAGGTGTAAGTTATACGTGATGATTGCAGTAGAGCGGCACGAACAGTGAAACTCATTCTGTTTATGAAAAAACAATATTCAGCAACGTTTGAAATACTTGCAGAAATGGAGATAAAGCAAGTGAAACTGCACTATTCAAGTGTTCATTTAGTATCATATACATTTATAGTTTTGATATTTTGAAATTGAATTTTTTATTTTATTTATATACTTTCAGTTATAATTTTGTAATGAGCTGTTGTCATTGTATAAATGTTTGTTCTTTTTTAATATTACTATTTAGGTTTAATTTATTTTTATTTCAGTTTTAGTTTAGTTTATTTCCAGTTAGTAACTTTAGTACTTATTTCAGTTATAGTTGCCAAGGTAGCATTTCTATTTTTTTGTTTACTTTTTCATCTAATAAGTATATTTCATTTTATTTCAGCTTTACTTCAATTAACAAAAATGGTTTAATAGTTTTAGTTTTATATTTAGTTAACAATAATAATAACCCTGTTATTCAAATTATTATAATAATAATAAATATAATAATTTAATTTAATTTATTCAAATTAAAAATGGACAGAGGTTGCCAAGAACTTTGTCACAATGGCTTTAATGATTAGACCCCTAATAACAAAGAGTGAAAAATTTAAGGGGGTCTGAATACTTT